CGCCACATTTTTAGGATACACTATTAGAGAAATACTATAAGCAGAGCTACTACTTGTGCTAGAATATCTCACAGAGATTTTATAAAACAGCTCTTTCCATTTTCTCATAAAGTTTACCCAACTGGCTGTCTGGACTCAGATATAATCCCATGATGGGCTGAACTGAGAGCCAAATCTGAGTGGCAGATTCATACTATCTCAAGGATCACTGTTCTCCTTCCAAAGACTGAGGCTTTGTTTCTGGGTCAAACCAGTCTACCTGACACTTCTCTTAAGATGAGTTATATTCTAGGTTTCTCAGTGACTCAGTAAGTTGAGTTCTAGTGGGTCTACCCTAGTTTGCCAGACATTCCCAAGAATGTCTGAGCCCCAACAATAAATACAGCTTAGTCTGAGGGTGGTATACCTGCTATATTTTTTTTCTTCCAAATCTAGTAAGATGATAAATAGAGGGTGCAAAGTTCAAACGATTTGCTTCCACAGCTGCAGGATCATTATTCCATGTTCTGGACTTAACGAAAATAAGAACTCTTTCAAGATGCTAGGGTCTGTGGGGGCTATCTCCCTAAATTGAAAAGACAAAGATGCATCAGATAGAGTGATGTGAGCAAGATGGCAATACAGGCATTTCTAGCACTCATACCCTCTCAGAAATATCAATTTGAACAACTATCCACAAGCAAAAATACTTTCACAAAAGGTAAGAATTTCAGGTAAGAAATTACAGCACATGGGTAGAGCACAGAAATAAGAAAAGGTGCACTGAAGAAAATAGAGAAGACAGTTTCACATTACTCCTGTCACCCCTTCCTCAAGCCTAGGCAGCTCAGCAGTGGGGAGATACCCTCCCTGTGGGGGAAGGAGAGTGAAATGAGCACCAACTTCACCACGAGCCCCAGCACGAGGCCAACTCCCACAAATCCACGCTCCTAATCCACCCTAGCTCTAGCTGGTTCCTGTGGCCCCAGATGGTTCCTTTGGCCTCAGATGGTTCCTTTGGCCTCAGGGCCTCAGCCCATCCCAGCACCAAACTGGCTGTGGCAGCCTCCCCACTGAACTTGAACTATGGAACTAAGAGATATACAGAACATCCCATCCAACAGCAGCAAAATACACACTCCTGTCTAGCACACACAGAACATTCTCCTGGATAGATCATATCTTAGGTCACAAAGCAAGCCTTAGCAAATGTAAGAAGACTGAAAGCATACCAAGTATCTCTTTCAACTATAACAGTATGAAACTAGAAATCAATAAGAGGAGGAAAACTAGAAAATTCACAAACACTGTTAATTAAACAATATACTCCTGAACAACCAATGGTTCAAAGGGGAAATAAAAAAATATCTTGAAATAAATGAAAATACAACATACCAAAACTTATTGGATGCAGCAAAAGCAGCTCTAAGAAAGAAGTTTATAGTGATAAATGCCTACATTAAGAAAAAACAACCTAGCTTTATACTTCAAGGACCTAGAATAAGAAGAACTAAGCCCAAAGTTGGCAAAAGGAAAGAATAAACAAAGGTCAGAGCAGAAATAAATGAAATAGAAACCAGAAAAACAATAGAAAAGATCAATGAAACTAAGAACAGTTTTTGAAAAGATAAACAAAATTAACAAACCTTTAGCTAAACTAAGCAAAAAGAGAGAAGACACAAATAAAATAAGGAATGAAAGAGGAGACTGATACTACAAAAATATAAAGGATCATTAGAGACTAACTACCATGAACAATCACACACCAACAAATTGGGTAACCTAGAATAAATGGATAAATGCCCAGGGACATACAATATACACAGACTGAATCATGAAGAAACAGAAACTCTAAACAGAATAATAATAAGGAATACAAAGCAGTAATAAAAAACCTCCCAACAAAGAAAAGCCCAAGACCAGATGGTTTCACTGGTGAATTCTACCAAACATTTAAAGAAGAATTAACACCAATCCTTCTCAAAATCTTCCAAAAACTGAAAAGGAGGAAATACTCCCAAACTCATTTTATGAGGCCAGCATCACCCTGATACCAAAGCCAGACAAGCACACTACAAGAAAAGAAAATTACATGCCAATATCCCTGATAAATATGTATGCAAAAACTCTCAACAAAATACTAGCAAACTGAATTCAACAGCACATTAAAGGGATCATACACCATGATCAAGTGGGATATACTCCTGTTTGGATTTATACCATGGATGGGTTCAACATACACAAATTAATAAATGTGATATACCACATTATAGAATGAAAGATTAAAACCATATGATCATCTTAATACATGCAGGAAAAGCATTTGATAAAATTTAACATCATTTCATGTTTACAACTCTCAACAAGTTAAGTATAGAAGGAAAATACTTCAACATAATAAAATCCATACATGACAAGCCCACAGCTAACATATTCAACAGGAAAAGTTGAAAGCTTTCCTTCCAAGATCAGGAACAAGACCAGGGTGGTCACTCTCACGACTCTTATTCAACATAGTACTGGAAGTCCTAGCCAGAACAACTGGGCAAGAAAATTAATAAAAGGCATCCAAATCAGAAAGGAAGAAGTAAAATTGTCTCTTTCTGCAGATGATATGATCTTATATACACAAAATCCTAAAGGCTCCACCAAAAAACTGTTAGAACTAATCAACAAATTACTGTATTTCCTCATGTATAAGATGCTCCCATGTATAAGATACACCTTAATTTTGGGGCCTGAAATTTGAAAAAAATGTATTACTTAAAGTTAAGTGAACTCAAGTTTTATTCATCATAAAATTCATACAACTCCTCATCACTGTCAAAACTCCCAACTATTAGCTTGTCCTCATCTGTATCTCATGACAAATCACTGTCTTTGTATATCGCCTCGTCCTCAGTTCCATCTATGGCATTTGAAATGCCACACTTTTTAAATGACTTGACAACGATCTACAACCACTGTATAAGACACACCCAGTTTTTAGACCCCAAATTTTTCAAAAAACGGCGCGTCTTATACATGGGGAAATATGGTAAGTAACATTGTAGGGTACAAAATTAGTTGTGTTTCTATACATTAAAAGGAAAATCCGAAAAAGAGATAAAGAAAACAATCCTATTTATAACAGCATCTAAAACAATAAAATGCTTAGAAATAAGTATAGCCAGGGAGTTGAAAGATCTTACACTGAAAATCATAAGACACTGATGAAAGAAACTGAAGAAGACATGAGTAAATGAAAAGATTCCTCAGGAAACTAAAAGTAGAACTACCATATGTTTCAGCAAGCCCTCTTCGGGGTATATATCCAAAGGAAATTACATCACTATCTCGAAAAGATGTCTGTACCCCCATGTTCATTGTGGCATTATTCACAATGGCCAAGACGTGTATACAACCTATGTGTCCACTGACGGATGAATGGATAAAGAAAACGTTATAGGGCCAGCTGAGTGGCGCGATGGTTAAGAACTGGCTTGGGACGCCAGAGGGCCCCGGTTCGGATCCCACATATGAGGGCCAGTGACACATCCCTCCACAGCTAAGATGCTGAACAACAGCTCAACCTGGAGCTGGGCTGCCGTGAGTCACTGGTGAGGCGTAGGCTGCAGCCCCTGTGGCAATGGGTTGCCACAGGCTACCGTATATAGCTAGCAGCCGCAGTGAGCGGCCATCTGGAAGCCGGTGACTGATCTGCCTCACCCGGGAAGAGCACAATGATGGTGCCAACTTGGGCCAGTGAAGCAACGTCCTCCACAACTAGACTGAAGAAAAACACAACAGCAACTTGTCTGTTCCCCTTCCCCCAATTCCCCAGCACTGTTCCCATCCCAATTCCCCAATAAAAATCTTTAAAAAAAAAAAAAAAGAAAACGTTATAAACCGGGGTGCCAAAAAAATGTATACACATTTCAAGACATGTTATCTATGCTCAAGCAGCAGTTTGTCATAATCAAAAGTGTATGGACACTGATGGTAACCACTTTGAGCACCTCTTGTAATTGCAGAAGTCAAACGTGACTTGTATTCATCTTTTGTTATCGGTATACACTGAGTATTACAATTAATACAGTTTTTTCATTTCTTAAAATGTGTATACATTTTTGTCATCATACACACACACACACATACATATACATATATATATACATATATATATATACACACCATAAATATATATATTTATATGTATTTCCCTATATTTCACTATATATGTATACTACTATATATGCATGTATTTTACTATGTACATATATATGTACATAGTAAAATATAATTCTGCCATAAAAGTAAGGAAATCACATCTACCATTTGTAACAACATAGATAGACCTTGAGAGCATTATGATAAGTGAAATAAGTGGGTAGAAAGATAAATACTGTAAGATCTAATATGTGGAATCTAAAAAAAGCCAAACTCATAAAAATAGAGAACAGTAGTTGCCAGAGGCTCGGGGTTGGGGAGGTGTTGGTCAAAAGGTACAAACTTTCAGTTATCAGACGGGGATCTAATGTACAAAATGGTGACTAACGTTAACAATATTGTATTATATACCTGAGAGTAGATCTTAAACGTTCTCACCACATACACACACAGAAAAAATGGTGATTATGTTAGGTGATGGACTTTTTAACTTAACCTTATTGTGGTAATCATTTTGCAATATACAGAAGGTGCCAAAAAATTGTATACACATTTTAAAGGAAAACTGTATTAAAATTGTAATACTCAATATATACAAGTAACAAAAGATGAATACAAGTCACATTTGACTTCTGCTATTACAAGAGGTGCTCAGAGTGGTTACCATCAATGTGCAGACACTTGTGATTATGGTGAACTACTGCTTGAGCAACACTGATCAGAGTCCACTTGTATACACTTTTTTAGCACCTGCCCCTCATATATGTGTATCAAGTCATGTTGTACACCTTAAATTTCACAATGCTATACATCAATTACATCTCAATAAATCTGGGGGGATAAAATGATCAAAGGAAAAGAAAATGTATTACCCTTAAGCTCTCATCAGGTCCTTAAAGTTCCGTCCAGAATTCAATGAACAAAAGAAAGGGATTTCTTATATCTGCTTCTGCATTCTTCTGAATGAATTCAGGCAGTAGTGGCTACAATACCAAGTATGATCTCAATTCAGTTCCATTAAAAAAAGGGGGAGGGCAACATGCAAAACACCTTCCTTATGATTTCAAGTCATCTTTATACTCTATACATATATATTTTACCAAAAAGTGCTTCCTTATCAAAATCAATCTTTGATCTTCTGCTAGCTATTAAATCTTTAATTACAAAATTAAGGCGGAAAATCCTTCCGAGCGCTTTATATATTTGCATGTCTACTCTGTGTCGAATAACATTACATAAGAGATGAAACAAGAATGCCTACTTTGAATCAGGCACTAAACACCAGCAAGCAAGCTTTAACATATCGCACAGTGGGGGCTGACTTAAATTTTCTTAAAGTTCTTAAGAAGTAGTAGCAATCATCTCACTGCCAAATCAAAAATATTACAAGGAATGAGGAAAAGCTAAAGATGTGTTCCCCAAAGTGGGAAGAATACCTGTAGTAAGTGATGGGTTGGACCCAGAGAGTATCAAGTTTCCTAATTAACACTGGAAGCAGGCTAAGATTCAAAGAAAAAGTCTCCTGGTCATTCTTCAGAGAGGTCAGGTCCTCTGGTTATATCAAGAAGGTAACAGGTGTTTATAAAGACAGGATAAACAATTGTAGGTCAACTGTAATTGAAAAATAAAAATTTATTTTAAAAAAAGAGGATAAGCAATAAGTGAATAATTCAAGTTGCTTAAGTATTGTTTTTGTATAGAGAAACAGCAACTGAAAATTAGAAATATAAACTTGCATGGATTTTAAGTAATATGTCTTCTACAAATAAGCTTAAGTCCTTGTCTCCTACATTTTCCCATTTAGTCTTTTTTCTAGATAAATATCAAAATATATTTCCATATTGCCTTCCACCTTTTCCTCCTTTTCTAAGTTTTTATTTGAAAAGCAACCTGAATGGTCTGACTCCAGGCACAAATTGCGTTCTTCTAGCCCTACTTAAATGGTAGGTAATATAAAGACAGGTGGAAAATATAAACACAGGTTGATTACTTGCAAAGTGTCCACAGTAAAGATTAAGGAGAAATTCCCCGCCAAATAATGACGAGACAAATGACCAAATCTACTGTAAGGGCGCACCTTAATGCTAGAGATTTAGTTAGTTTCTCTAAGAACTTCTGGAGGAATTTGACAGGAAGTGAAAGTGAACATTTTCTGGATGGTGAAAATATCAGTTACTACTATTTATATTTTTGTCTTGGTATTTTTTTCTAGTCTTCAGATGTGGGGTGGGAGAGCTGAGGGGGAGGTGAGCGGACACTAGGGCGTAAAGGCGCCGCAGAGAACGGTGCGGGCCAAATACCAGGAAGTCAACCTTTATCAGTCTTCAGTGTCCCTTTAGCTTTCAAGACCAGGGAAACTCGTAGCTAGTCACCCAAGGAAGGTCCGGCCTTTCTCCCGCATCACGCCTCCTCAAGCGGGCAACTGGAGCGACAGCCCGGGAACGACGCGCGCGGCACGCTGGGAGCGGAAGAAGGGCGCCGCGCGGAGGCGGCCAGGCCGGAAGAGGAGGAGCTGGGCCTGGAGGGTCTGCTGGAGTCCCTGCCTCTGTGGGTACCTGTGTTTGCGGGTCGCAGGGAGCGGAGCCTGGCGAGCGGGGTGTGTCGCGATGCCGGAGCTGGCGGTGCAGAAGGTGGTGGTCCACCCCCTAGTGCTGCTCAGTGTGGTGGATCATTTCAACCGGTGAGCGGGCAGCGCGGGGCGGCCTAGTGGGGCCGGCGGCACAGTCGCTGCTGAGTCACGGGCACTCTGGGGAAGGCGCAGCGGCCGCGGGATCGCTGATGGGCGGAGGGCGGCCCTGACTCGTCAAGGGGCCCAGACCATCCTCGGTGCAGGAAGCCCAAAGCCACCCGGCATCGTCCCAGCCGGCACTCCGGGTCCTGCTTGGGTTGCCGGCTTCTTTTACCCAAGTCCGTACGCTGCCAGATTATGGGGGCAACCACCCGTTGGCCCTGATCCCCCAGGCCTCGTGCGCACCTGTCACCTCGGCTGCCCCCTTTCACCTTAAAAGACCCGGTGTCTCGTAGGAAAGCCCTTCGGACTCGCTCTTCTGTGCCTGGGAAGGCTGTCACCAAAATTCTGGTCGCAGCACCCTGAAGGGCTCCCTGGAAGAGCTGTGGTTTTTTAACTTATGAAAGTTTCTAAGCAGGAATCTGGTTTAACGATAGCTTCAAAGTAGATGAGATGTCAATTTTCTCTTTTCAAAGTGAGATCAGTTGGAGACTTTGGCATTAAAGAATAAGATAACATCCAGAGATGTTTCTTCCGTCTTCCCTTGCTTGTTAATTCAAGCTGTTCATCCCGCTAGACCTGTTACACGTGTTCATAAGTTTTACAAGATAATTACTTGAGTTGGCAAATGTGAAGACCCAGTTGGGAGCATCTGCTGTAGAGTCATGGTTTTTAAGTGCTCATTCATTCTCCTGCATCTTGCTTTGTGCAACTCCTAATTCAACCAGAACCAAAAACAAACTCGAGACCCATGAGGTTTAGGGTCCCCAGTTCAGTTCCGTTGCTTTGTAGGATCCTCAGCCTGCCAGGATATATGGGCTTTCCCACTGTACAGTAATTACTGTTTTATCTCCCATAGGATACTAGGGATGCTAATGGGGCAGGCACCGTTTCAGTTCTAGTCAGTAAACTCAACAGTTGTTAAAGGCATAGTGCAGGCAGACGCACTGCTAGCCGCTGTGTCAGATAACAAATGTAGGATTTTATGAAAGGATTTTTGTAGACCTAAAGAAAAACCAGTTAAGTGTAGAAGTTTTCTTTGATGTGTGAAAACTCAATGCCTAAGATTCCCCCCCCGCAAAAAAAAAAAATCAGAACCACCAGGAATACAAACTCCTCAACTTTGTTTGATCCAGACCCCAAATTTAGTAAGCATTTATAAATTTTTAAATGAATAATTCAGTTAAACCACTGTGAAGCCAGCGACTGTTAAGGATACTATTAAGGATCATAGTTCATTTCCCAGTGGCTTTTGTATCTCCTTTTAACAAAGAGTTGTATTGTGTCTGTGTCTCACTTGCTACATTTGTAGCTCCTTAAGAGAAAATCACTGAGGTTGGATATGGAGATAGAAATTCTGAAGTAAAATCTCTCACTCATTCAGCCCTGCTCTCAGTGTGATTCGTCACTGGCTCACTTCTGACTTCTTTCTAATTAAGCCATTCAGAGAGACCACAAATGACACACACGTGCCCTGGGTCAGAATCACTTTCTGAGCCACAGGCTGGTTCAAAGAATTATTACATCTACTGGGGCTTGTTGACATGGAATAGATGTTCCAGAGAACAGTTATCAAGTTGGATCATAAAACTGGTTGTACTTTAGCATCTTTATCCCTGAAAAGATTCAAGGATAGAGAAGATGGGGAAAGTTTAAAGGAGAAAGGTAAGCTACAAAGAAAAAAAATAAAGTTAAATGTGGTAACATAACTTAAATGTGTTTTTCAAACACCAACCAAATAACATTTTGAATCTCTTAAGATCAGGAGAGTTTTTGTGTTCTCCATTTTAAGTTTCTATAAAGTTTGAGATATTTCCAAGCTTGTATTACTTTGCATTTAAGAGTGAGTAAAAACTGCCAGTATACAAAGTTCATGAATTACTCATTATATTTATTAGAATTTAATATTAAGGACTGACCAAACTCTATTACATTTCTTTAGTGGGATTAGTTCCCAAGTCTACTCACTCAACTGTATATGTATCATGAATATTTCCTTGTGAGTATCTAATCGTTGGCACATCGCTGTGTGCCTATCAGACTGACCTTGTGTTTTCTCATTCAGAATAGGCAAAGTGGGAAACCAGAAGCGTGTTGTGGGTGTGCTTTTGGGGTCGTGGCAAAAGAAAGTACTCGATGTATCCAACAGTTTTGCAGGTAAAAGACAAGTTTTACATTTTTCTGAGCATGGTTAAAATGTCAATTAACTTTAAAATACAAAAAGAAACATTTTGTGGTTTCCTTTTTTTTTTTTCCCACTAAAACCCAGGATTCGAATTAAGAGTTGCTGCGGTATAAAAAGGGAGGCTAAAGGCTACACACTAAACTGGATAGTAAACATTTTAAACTTGCAGGCCATACGGTCTCCATTGCAACTGCCCAGCTCTGCTACTATAGCAGGAAAGCAACTATAGATAGTATGTGGACAAATGGGTGACTCTACAAAAACTTTATTTATAAAAATGACAGTTGATGTAGTTTGTAAACCCATGCACTAAACTGTTAACCATGATTATGGGTTAGCAAGGGGGAGTTGGAGACCATTATCCTTTTATTCTGTTTCACGAGTCTTTTTACAAGAGCATATCAATGTATTTTATGATTAAAGCAACAAGAACAAACAAGAACAAAATAATTGCTGGCATGACCTCTGGACTAGAGGTCACTAACTCCAATGTCTAAAAGAACCAGATAGCAATGTAATTTGCCACATGGGAAACATTAGGAAGAGATGGGGCTTTTAGCAAACTGAAGACCATGTGTCCTTATTTAAAGGGGGCAGCTTCTATCTGGCTCTAGCCAGTTGTTAGTAGGTCTTCTGATGTTTCAAGAAAAGCTGGTAGTCTGGATTTTTATGTGAAATCTCCCATTTTTTAATGAAAGCAACTCAAAAATAATTTTAATACTGTGTTGGACAAACCACCTATGTGGATCAGATCTGGCCTTGGGGTCTCCAGCTGTGACCTGTGCTCTAGAGTTCTATCCAGCACCCTAACTAAATCTTATATTTTTTTTCTCTTTAGTCCCTTTTGATGAAGATGACAAAGATGATTCTGTCTGGTTTTTAGACCATGATTATTTGGAAAACATGTATGGAATGTTTAAGAAGGTCAATGGTATGTCTTGATTTTTTTTTTAAGGTTTTGTGGCATTGATTTACAACCTGTGAGTGTGTATGTTTTCTTTTTTAACTATTCCCTTTAATATCAAGGGCCCTTTCCTTAGCTAAACTTAAGTACAACTAGTGGTAGTTGATGAATGAGGTAGAATAAATGAGAAACTAGAATAGCAATTTAAGACCACCTAAATTTTGGGGGAGAGAGCTGCTTGCCCTCTGCAGTAGAAAAGTAAAAAACTATCAAGTAAAATCTACCTGCCTCTAGAGCTTTGATACTACCAGGATAAATATATCTCTCCATCATGTATATCGTTTTCATTTCATTTCATTACAGCAACACACTGCTTTGGAAATGTTTATTCCTGCAACCCTCAGAGTTGTAATCTATGTGACATGAACTTGCATTTGTTTATATGTTGCCTTAGGATTATTTTCTGGTTGTTTTCATGTATGCCTCTTCTCCTAAACTAGTCTAAGATGTGGCTGTCTCTGGACTTCCCTTGCTGCTTATTTTCTGAGAATTCTGTTTTTGAGTTTTAGATTTCAAAAGTACATCATTGTTTAAATAGATGTCTTAAATTTTGAAAAAGGTAGAGACATAACAACTAGAGTTCTTACCCTTTTGAGGGAATTAACATAGATTTTCATGTAACAATTCAAACTCACTAATTTTTTCCTTCCCAGCCAGAGAAAGAATAGTTGGGTGGTACCACACAGGCCCTAAGCTACACAAGAATGACATTGCCATCAATGAACTCATGAAAAGATACTGCCCTAACTCAGTGAGTGCACTCTACTTCAGAACTCTTGAATATTTTCTTTGCCAGCTAACTCAAATGAGAGCATCCTAGGAAGGATTTGGGTAACAAATCATGTCACTGCTTTTTCTCTGTAAGCTTGTGTTAATTTGTAATGTTCTGTGTAGTATACAATAACCCGATATGTTTAATAAGTAACAGTAAAAACCAGCTAAGTGCCAGGTATGGAAGTTGTCTTCCTTTATCCTCTTAATAACTATATGGGGCTGGTATCCTCTTTACAATAAGAAAACCGAGGTTCACAGTGGTTGGTTAGGTCCCGTAGGTGGTGGGGCTGGAATTAAAATGTTGGCTGTCTTAATGCTCATTTCCTTGTGCTTGCTAAGCCACTGCACTACCTCTCAGCTTGTTAATTAATGGGGGTGAAGAACATAGCAAATGATAATTTGAACGTAAACTCATTTGTCATGAAAATTCTGACTCGTGTCTGGTTGAATGAATGAACTCAGCATTCATCAGAAGAATGGCTGCGTTATTCCTATGTGCTCAGTGTGAGGTGATTTGCTAAGATGTGTTTTCTGCCAGGTATTAGTCATCATTGACGTGAAGCCAAAGGACCTGGGACTCCCCACAGAAGCATATATTTCAGTGGAAGAAGTTCATGATGTAAGTCATCTTGCTATGAGCCTAGATGATTAGATTTGCTACTTATTGGCAGTTGTTTGGGGGGTTTTTTGTTTTTGTTTTTGTTTTTCATTTTCAAGTCAACAAACCCTTTATAACCAAAAGGAGGATGTTAGTTTCTGTTAACAGTTTGATATTATGGGTTTTCTCTTTGA